GGGGGATCTAAATGAAAGAGAAGTAAATGTATAACAATTTAGTTTCAATAACTGCCAGGAATGAGCACACAATACGATAGGTGCTGTAGGCATAATATATTATGAGCTGGGACCGTTGAGAAGAGTGTTCATTAAATATCTTCCCTTTCTACGATAGTATATTATGTCCCTATTTATTTATAGTAACACTCAAAACTTTTTTTATACCTGCATTTAAAGTTTATCCTCTTTACCACTAGATGAATTATGTTCAGAGATCTATTTAGAGACTAACAAGATGTGAGGACAATATTATGCTTCCATAACGGACCCCTTTCTACATCCGCAAGACTCTAGGAGCGTAGTCGATTTCACATTATTGACCGTGAAATTTTGTTCAGTATCTTTTTTCTAGTCCTTTAAAACGGAAATTCGAGTTGTTTAGGAAATACTATCTTTTCCCTTTTAATTGAACGTTTGGCGGTGGTGCATAGGCATATGCTTTCCTGTAGTTAGTAAACACAGCTCCCCTTTTCCCCATTTTGTACCTTTTCCATTTGAATAATCAAAAGCACTATATCGCTGGTTCGTGGGCGGTTGGCAGGTGCTTTGGTGTGGTTTGCTCCTTTTTTCCTATCAAACGTCTAACGTCCTTGTCTTTCCTCTTTCTTGTTTGTATTTTTTACAATCATGAAACTCCTCTAATCTTTGGCACTTAAACGACCTTATTGTGTTGTGGTGTAAGTGCCGTAAAACTCCTACCAAAACTAAAAACCGCTGGTTCTTCTGTTCCTTCTATACCTGACTTGGTACTTGGTATATCTTTTCTATTTCAGATTAAGTCTAATCTAGGTACGCTTTTGAGGATCGGCGTATATGAACTAACTGTTAGGCTCCTCTCTATTCCGCACAACAGTCGTGCGTCTTATTCCCATGCGGGGGCGGGAATCAATGTTATTGAGTACCGCCGCTATCACTCTACCTTCAGCATAAGTTAAGGACCACTTGCAAATTTGGCTAAAATTCCCCGAGGGTTTCCGTGCTGCACGTGGTGGTTTTTGCCTCTTTAGGAAACATTGCAGTACGCATTGTTATCCCATTCAAACTGTCAGTGCAAAATAAAAATCTTGAAAAATTCCTTGCTGTCTTTTTTGCGGATTAAAAAAATATCAGTGCTGTCTGTCAAGATGGTCCTTAACTTATTTTGAAGTCTGTGTGTTGAAGCACCCCTCACAACCTAGTTTGACCCTGACAGTGCCCGGCACAATAGTCAAAGCAGCCAGTCCCCTAAATAATATGAACTTTGTCGACAAAAGCGTAACATAATTACATATCAATCAATCAAGATTGAGGGGAATCTCGTAGAGAGCTCTTGACTTGTAAAGGCATGTCTTGGCAATCTGTTGGGAAGGATCTTATCATGCAACAGTGCAAAAGGAGGATTTTTGCTTCTGGTATTTTTTAAACGCTGTTTCCTTCTTAAAATTATGTTTTCACAAAACAATGATCAGGTTTGCTTCAAAATCTGAATCGAAAGATAGTTGGGGTACACGAGAGTGTGTGGATGTGTGTGTGTGTGTGTGTGTGTGTGTGT